GGGGAAAGCATAGCATCTAAGCGTGAAAGATGACGGGAGAAATAATCAGCCGGGTTAGCACCTGAAGGAACGTAAACCATATGGAGTGATAAGTTTCTTTCCGTGGTCGCGTGAAACAGTTGGCGAGCCACCTCTGTTAACTTGAGTGACTTGGGGCCACGTCCCCTGGTTGTCGACATTCACATCTACCCTGCAGTCAGTGACTGAGTCGGGAAGAGACCTAATCGCTTGCAACACAGCGTAAAATTCCTTCACATTAATATGCTCCTTGCGCAAATCCTCGCTCCAGTAATCGCCTAGCTCTTCGTCACCGGAGGCAAGATGCAATGTTGCAGCCCAGCGGAAAGAGGAAGCATCAGTTGACATCCTTAGCGACACATGTCTCTCTTGTCTCCAAGGGATGAACCTGTTCCAGGAGTCTAARAATCGCCAGAATTCTATCTCCTTCCTTAGATCCCTTGATAAAGTCACCTCTGAGCCACGATTTGCCTTCCCGATGGACGCAGCCATTTCTCTAATGTAAAATCTAGCCCSGGGGAATGCCAAAGAAAACGATGAGCATTTTCCCATAAGTCTTTGTATAGATTYCAGAGACGTCGACTCTTTGCACGATAAGATGGCCTCTCGTAACTCTGCAAACTTAACACGCTTATCTCGTGGGACTGAGAATGCTTGCGCCTGTGTATCAATGATCATTCCGAGAAATTGAATTTTGACAGTGGGTAAAAGTATGCACTTCTTAAGGCCAAGAAAATAGCCTAAACCTAACAACACTGCGCAAGTCACGTACAACGYCGCCACCGCCGCTTCCCGGCTAAAGTCRTCATCTCTTATCTCCAATCTGCGAGACCATCTTCCCTCCTCACTATAGATTTCGCCTAACAACCGGTCATCGATGTATAGGSAAGAGGTGATGCCTCTTTCCCGGAGGAATGTGGTTGAACTTAGACCAATGGACTGGTAGACGAACGGAGAGTTTTTCCAACCGAACGGGAGTGTGGTTCCAACAAGCCACCACCCCTTCCACTCGACCCCAARGTACTGTTGGGAGTCCTCTGACAGAAGAAYATGATCATACCCCGATTTGTCATCTATCTTCGAAAGGTATGAACCAGGGTACGCAAACTGGGGGACTGACACCAGGGTGTCGARATTGAAAGGCGTATCCCCCATCCACAAGTTTAGGAATCTTGYGTCCACGCACAAACGAGGCTTATTAGGTTCGACCGTTAAAGGTAAGACCAGCCAAGGGGAATCGACCTTCCCAACCTCGCCCCAAGTCCGAACAGCGCCTGAACGGATGCGATCAGCGAGAGTTATCGAGATAAATTCTTGAAATCGGTCACAAGATCGATGATTTTTGAACATTTGTCTAGGGGGCGATGGCGAGTCGCACTTGATGCCTTTAAAAATTCCCTTAAATGGTTGTA